GACAGAAAATACTGATGAGCTGCAGAATAAGAGAAAATGATGGACAAAAATTATTTATGAACATCAATGTAAAAAATTTAAATATTAGCTAAGATCATGTAAGTACATTAAAAGCATGACACACAATAACTCCATGGGGTTTATTGCGGGAAGGCAGTGATGGTTTAAATCAGGAAATCTAGGAATATAACTTATCCTGTAAATGCAACCAGAAGAAAAGTTATGTGATCATGTGTATGGATGTTGATAGGCATTTGATATAATTCAACAGTCAGTCTTGTTTTACACACACTTGTAAGGAAGCAATGAATTCTTCCTTAAAATAAAATTCAAAAATTCTCTACTAGCTAGCTATTTTAGACCCAAGTCAGCATTTTCCTTAATGTGAGATATTTGAGACATTTCAGTCAATAATTTTATGAAATTAGTGCTGGTAACCACTGCAATGACTTTTAGAGCTATAATTGATGGAAGGTAAGAGGGAAAATTTATTTTGTTGGAGTTGATAAGGTTGAATGCAGAAAAAACTCAAGGAGGGGGTGAAATATCTAAATGGTTTCCCTATGGCTATCATGTGGACTTCAACCATGGTTTCAATTTCAAGGAGGCCGTGAATTTTGCCACCATGAGATAAGCAAAGGGGCCTCTCAGTGCATTATAGAGGAAGACATTGTGACCTTTTCCCTGGACGCTGTCATGGGCATCCTATAACCCAGGTACCATGAGCTGTGGAAAGCCAGGCATGAGGGATTAGTTGCAGACCCCATGGAGTCCAGGGCACAGGCCAGCCTGGAGGTGCCCACCTGGTGGAAGACCCAAGTGCCTGAGAAGGCTCTCTGGACTGAGGCACCACCCATGTCAACAGGGCCATGACCCACTCAGCCTATGGTCTCCAGCTGTGGTACCTGTTGTCTCACATTTGTGTGCCTGGTGTTCCCGTGGCCAATCTAGCCTGCTGTGATTGGCCATGGGAACACCTGGCACACAAATGTGAGGCAACAGGTACCTTCCCAGCCCAGGACCTTAGCTTGGACCCACTGCCCACCCTGGCTTTGTCAACCTGGGTCTGAACCTTTCAGCTGGCAGATGTGGTTGTGGCCCTTAGCCTTTGTAACTGGGGGCTCAGAAGCCAATCCTTCAGGCTCCATCTAGCCAGGAGGTGCCTCTTGGTGGTTACAGACAGCACACCTCCAGGCCCTGAGCCTAATCCCCTACCCACAGATGCAGCTTTGACGAACAGTCCAGGATCCAGCATCCTGCTAAGGATTCTGGGTGCTACTGGGCCCCCACCCCTGTGCCTGTGGTCAGCCTTTATATTCCACTTCTTTGCTCTGTGGGGGCTTCTTGAGATTGGTCACATTTACAACTCAGAATTTCGGGCAAATTTTCAGGCCACTACAATTACAGTGCCTCCTGGTGCCTCCCTGTCAGCACCTGTGGTAAGGACCCTGGGCACTGCTGAGTCCATGGTGGTTACCAAATTCACCGTACATTCTTCATCCTCTCAGATCTTGTAATACCTTTGAACGCTTCTAATTCTGTGTCACCAGCTGAGAGTTCATCCACCGGACATGAGTATGTCTGAGAACGAGGTCTTTTTGGGTTTGCTGGGAGCTCATCTATCCCAGTGTCCCAAACTTTGGACCAATTATGGAGGCTGCTGCACTTCTGAAGAATTTGGAGTGTGGGTCCCCTTCAATCTTCTTCCCTTATCTCTCCCTCCCTCAGCTCTCCGCTTGTTGCAAAACTAGCCTTTTATGACCAATTAGGTCAATAGAGTCAGAAAAAAAGTCGTTGTATTTCTAATTCATTAAGATATTTAAAGTGTGATGTCACCAGTATTTGTTCACAAATACATTAAAGGTCACCAAAATGTAAAATCTGACTTTCTTTCTAATACTGTAATTTTGAAACGTTGTGGGAGGAGGTTATTCTCCATGCATTTTTCTTCCCAGTTATTTGAGAACATTTCAGGCAACACTCATTAATATTTTATGGGCTGGTTACATTTTGTGGTGGTGGCTGAGCTCAGCGTATGCTCATGAGGTTCTGGCTATCTGGCTGTGTGGGACCACTGGATCGCAGTTATGCTTTGAGGATGTTTTGGTAGGCCCAGCCTGGCACTCAGCCAAACAGCAGGACCCAACAGGGCAACATCCTAAAGGTTGAATAATACTATGGGCCCATACGAAGTGCCACTAGTGATGCTGGAAATGTTCCCAAGAGGCAGAGGAAAGTTGAATTGCCTGATGTGTAGTGTACATTGAGTTCTGCAGAGAGGTTGCCAGTCATTTCAGATAGGCTATTCATCTTGTAAATGGTTACATTTTCTCCTTATAATTTTCTTAAAGACATTTTCTTTTCTCTAGCTTTCTTTACTGTAAGAATACAGTATACATGTACCATATAAAATCTGTGTTAATCAACTGTTTATGATATCTGTAAGACTTCCAGTCAATGATAGGCAATTAGCAGTTCAGTTTTGGGGGGAGTCAAAAGTATTTAAGACATTCTAACTGCACAGGGTTTCAGCATCCTGAACCCCCTCATTGTCCCAGGGCCAACTGCACATGCATTTGTGTCTGGTCTCAGTATACTGTGCTTAGATGTACTGTTGATATCAACTCAGATATCACAGTTTTATAAGGAAGAAGTCATTTTTGTTTTGTTTTAAGGAATCATTTTGGAGATTGTCAAATATTTGACTCTAACGGTATTAGATTCTAACAGTGCTAGCTCTACCACCTTGAACAAGTGACTTAATGCCTCCATGACTCAGTTCTGTCATCTGAAAAATCAGGGGTATGGGTTTTCTTATAGGTCATAGAATTAAATAAGTTATTCTATGAGGAGTAAATTGAACAGCGTTTGCCATTTTATAATCACCATGTATGTTAGCTATTTTAAATAATATTTTACTGTCAGAAATAAAGAGGGATTTCTGTTCATCAAAAGATATGAAAAATAGAAAGAAATGACAAACCAAGGAGTGTGAACCAATATTGTATTAGTCATATCCAGTAAAGAGCTGATATCCATTATATATAAAGAGCTAGTGCAGAGAATACCAACCAATAGAAAAATGGACCAAATACATAACAGGCATTTCATGAGAATATCCAAATGGCCAATAAAACATGAAAAAATTACTCACTCTTATTTGTAATTAGGAAAATGAAAAAAAAAATTTTTTTTCAAGTTTTAAGTCTCACTGTGTTACCCAGGCTGTTGTGTGGGGATGCAATCATAAGTAACACAAATCTTAATGCCCTCACCTAACTGGCTAAAAACTAAAAAAGTCTGATATTCGCCAAAGGTTTGCAAAAGTGAAGAGCACTGAGCACCGTCATACACAGTTGTTTTGTGTAAATTGGTTGAAAAACAATCAGGCATAATAAAGTTTGAATTCATATACAGCTGTCCCTTGATAGCCTGCAGGTGGAGGGGATTCGGTCCTTAGTAACCCCTGAGGATTCTGAGGACTTTCAAGTCCATGTATAAGATGGCTTGGTATGTGCACGTACCTTATACATACCTTCCCATATACTTTAATTCATCTCTAGATTACTTACATTATGATGAAAAAGCTATGTGAATAATTGCTTACTGTAATGTATTTTATTTATTTTTATTGTTTTTTTCTTCTGAATAATTTCTTCCCACATTTGGCAGATTTCACTGATGCTGAACCCAGAGGTTACAGTGGGCTGCCTGTATTCTATGACAAGGAAAATCCATTCATAGATAAGGGGACACATAAGCTGCAGCATACATGTCCAAGCATGTTCTGAGCAACACTATAAGAGGCCAAAAGTGTAAACAACACAAGTGCCCATCAGCAATACAAACATTTATACCATTGAACACCTTACAGCAGACAACAGGACCACGTACAGCTACACGGAATGACATAGATGAGGGAAATAAAACTCATGACACATTAAAATGTTTTTAAAAAATTCTATTTATATAAGGTTACATAACATTTTCAAAAGAAGCAACATTTTAATTTATTTAGAATTTTCCTGCAGAGGAGTTTCTGTCTCTTCTCTCCAATGTTTTATCTAGATCATTTATTTACAACAGCACAAATTCATATTTATTTTATATTTTAATATAGCAGTACTTTCGTTTCTTCCTTACATTGTTCAAGATTTGGCCATTGGGAGCTGTTTTATTGGTTTTTGTACCACTCTAAAATTAGCCCATGAATACTTTTGTTTTCTTTCTATTTACCACATCCTTATTTTCCAGAAGTCCCAGATGCTCTCGGCCCTTTCTGTATATTTCCTTTCCAGAGGTAGAAACTGTATTTCTTCATCAGTATTGCTAGGTTTTTCTTTCTTTAAAAGTGTTGGATTTCAGTTTTATTAATCATGTTTTTTTAAAAAACATATTGTCCCTTCTATCTATTTATAATTCTATCCTTCTTTTAATGTTTTGTTTTCTTTTTTGTTTTGGTTTTGTTTTACTAATTGCTTGACTTCAACATAGAAAAGTAAGAGTTTTAGAAATGTGATTATTAATTTTCAAATAAATATGACTGGATTCAGGTGTTTTCTCTTTGACCTTCAATATCATTTCACTGAGATCAAGATGTGCTCAATTTATTGAACTATGAAATTTTAATTGATGTTTATTTTGTAGTCTTGTATTGGGAAATTTTGGTAAATGTTTTCAACATATTTTTGATTATTGCAGGTTATATGATCAAAGTGTTGTCTGTTGTGCAAATTATTATTGCATTACTAGTTTTGTTCTCTGCACTATTGATTTCTGAGAAAATGGCGTTACAAGGAAAAAAACCCTTCCATCCTGAGTGCAGATTTTTCAGTTTTACCTTATAACTCTCAGTCTCGGCTCTCTGTGTGTCACTGTAGTGTGTTTAGGTGCGTTAAGTTCATCACTGCAACGACTTCCTGGTGAATTTTCAGCAATTTTCAATTTTATAGGAATTTTTGATTACTATAAAAAAGTGTTAGATTTCAGTTTCATTAATATTTGTCTGGATTGCCTGTTCCCATAGACTGACCTTTTATCACTTAGCTTTGTTCTTAAGATTGATTTAAAATGTAAAAGAAAAGGAAGACGCCTGGGTGGGTGGGACGTCCAATCTAAACCCAGCCCAGTGATCACATTATCTGGGCTCTGATTAGGTTAGGACGTTGCCCAGGTATAAAGCCAGGATCTTTGGGCCCTGGTTTCATTTGGAGTTCAGCCACCAAGAGGAAACCTTCCTCTGAGTCCTGGAGTATTTGGCCCGGAACTAGGAATTTGCGAGTTGCTGCTCCAGGGCGCTCCCTGCGGAGAATTGGCGGCCCGCCTCTCAGCCGATCTTTTCCCGGCGTCCCCACGCGGGGCGCAACCGCTAGAGAGGAACGTCGGTCTCACCGCCCGCGCCCAGGGCAGCGCCAGTTCCCCGGCCCAGGCCGCTCCAGGAGCCATGAGCTGCGGTCGCCCCCCTCCCGACGTGGACGGCATGATCACCCTGAAGGTGGATAACCTGACCTACCGCACCTCTCCCGACAGCCTGAGGCGCGTGTTCGAGAAATACGGGCGCGTGGGCGACGTGTATATCCCGCGGGAGCCGCACACCAAGGCGCCCCGGGGCTTCGCCTTCGTCCGCTTCCACGACCAGCGCGATGCGGAAGACGCCGAGGCCGCCATGGACGGGGCGGAGCTGGACGGACGCGAGCTGCGGGTGCAGGTGGCGCGCTATGGCCGCCGGGACCTGCCTCGCAGCCGCCATGGAGCGCCACGCAGCAGGGCCGGGGGCGGCGGATACGGACGGCGGAGCCGCAGCCCCAGGCGGCGACACCGCAGCCGATCCCGGGGTCCGAGCTGCTCCAGGTCCCGCAGCCGATCTCGCCATAAGGGGTCTCGCTATAGCCGGTCTCCCTACAGCCGATCTCCTCACAGCCGGTCGCATTACAGCCGCTCTCCCTACAGACGATCTCGCTATAGCCGATCTCCTTACAGCCGATCTCGCTACAGCCGATCTCGCTACAGGGAATCTCGCTACAGCGGATCTCGCTACAGCTCATCTGGTTACAGTCGCTCTCGCTGCAGCCGCTCTCGCTACGGCCGATATCACAGCAGCCGGTCTCACTCGAAGTCTGGGTCCTCCACTGGCTCTCGCTCTGCATCAACCTCCAAATCGCGCTCTGCGCGACGATCCAAGTCCTCCTCGGCCTCCAGGTCTCGCTCACGGTCCAGGTCTTCATCCATGACTGGGAGTCCTCCCCGGGTATCCAAGAGGAAATCCAAGTCCAGGTCTCGATCCAAGAGGGCCCCCAAGTCTCCTGAAGAGGAAGGACAGGTGTCCTCTTAAGAAAATGATGCAACAGCAAGCAACGTAATGGAGGACTTGGGGAAAAGGATCACATACTCAGTCCCTGAAAGCAGAGTCCCTGGAAGAAGGGACTGCCTATTGAAAAGGTTGTGTCGTACTTTTCTACCTTTTTACTAGTTTGAAGCTTTGCATCAGGTGGCAAAATTCATTCTATGTGCTGTTTTGTTGTTATTCACATTTTCTTGTAATTTAGGAGGCGAACGACCTAAGATTGCATTTTGGGTTTGGATATTTGAGGCAAAAATTTATTTTTATTTCTATAGAGCTGACTGTTTAGGTTTGAAATGAACAGATTGGTAACCTAATTTGTGGCCTCCTGACTTTTAAGGAAACTTGTGCAGGCATTACACACAGCCTAACGCTGTTACCACATTGCTTCAACATTGCCTTCGTTCCTTAAAGTTAAAACCCTACAAAAGGTGTTGTAAATTAATATTTTATCTCCAAGTCTGAAACGTAGTATCACCCAAATTCGTATAAAGATTTTTCATGTGAAAGGACTGGGTTTTTAGCAAACACAATTCTAATCTCTTCTGTGTTTTTGTGCACCAGGCCTGGCTGCCTAGCCGTTGAGTGATGCTGGTTAGTTATTAAGGTGGCCTGTTGCAGTGCAGAGTGCTGAGCTGCTTCCTGTTTTCTTCTGATTGCTTCTGGGGAAACACGCCTTGTCCTGAAGAACAAATGGCTGTCCAGTTTATTAAAATGCCTGTCAACTGCACTTCCAGTGACTCAGGCCTTGCAGATAAATAATGGAGCATGCAGTGAGCACATCTAGCTGATGATAATCACACCTTTTTCCCCATCTTTTCTGAAAAATTGTAAATCTGATCATAACAACATGTATGAACTTAAAATATGGAGAATCTTATGGAAGAAATGGTTTATAAGTTTGTTAAGTACTTATAACATGGTATATCTTTTTGATTTTTTTTTTTACGCTAACCATTGTTTCTGCAGTTTAAATTGTTTTCTTGGTGTTACCTTTTCTCAAAATAAAATTAGAAATTTTTGGTGGAAAGTAAGTTGTTTTATTTTCTGTATAACTTGGATATTTGTACTTTTGAGAAAATTGTTAGCACCAAGTGTTTCTCAAGAGTTAATTATAATTTTTAAATTGTAATTAACTCTTGAGAAACACTTGGTGCTAATAACTTTCGTTATAAAAAGAAATTTTCTTTATAAAATATAATTTTCTTTATAAAATTATAAAAAATAATTATAATTTTTTAAAAATTATAATTAAACATAGGTTTTTAGCTATGCTTTATTTTATCACAATGCAGTTTATTTGTAGTTTCTCTCGTCTCATACCTATGGTTTTTACATCTAAAATTCTTTTCAAATAATTCATTTTGGCTTTCATCATTATCCCTACTAGGTGTTATGTTTTCTTTTGAAATTGCTTCTGCTTATACCTTTACTAGCACAGGGAAAATAACAATTTGGTGTTTATGATCTGGTGACAATAGGATTATATTGGAGCCAATTGAATAAACTTATTATTTTAATCATATAGATCTTCATTAATATTTTTGACTGAATTATCAATAAAAATAGTGCATGCCCTTTGTGCAGAAACTGCTAAATCCAGGATTAGATTCTTGAATGAACTTACAAGGTGGCAGTGGTCTGTGACAGATATGCATCCCACATTTTTGTGTTATAACAGTAGTAATGTTTTGCATAATACTGTTTTCATATATAGAATCCAGAATCTAAATTTTACAATAATTACATTTCTTCTGGTCATGACAAATGTAATATTTTACAAATATAAAATCTACATAGAATCCAAAGACACAGAGCAGGCCTGTCTGAGAAATGTAAAGTCAGGACATCCATGGCATTGTAGTAGCCACTCACATCCAGCAGGTGGCGAATGGAGGGGGGGTTATATTTATTAAATGGGACCGAGTGGGACAGGGGGCAGCCCTATGGGTATGGAAGCGTTGTTAATTTCTGGGGATAGTATAAGACCCAGGCATAGATGGAATTTGAAGATTTGAAGTAAAAATATCTGTAGAAAATCTTAAACATGGGACCAAAATACGACGTTAAAATCAGCAGTTCTTGATATGTCAAAAACTTTGAAACCTAGGAACAATTTTGGACATGTTGGAGCAGAAATGTGTAGTTGTCATTGAAGGTGTGAACATACCCTACCTCTACTCTACATGTGGAAGACATGGCATACAGAGGACATGGACCCATGCAGAAGAGTGATGTGACATGTTTTATATTTTATTAGCACCATGACCTAACCAACTGAGCTAACTGGCCACACCATTTTATCCTATGTAATGATCACTATGAGGCTGAGTGCAGAATGGAGTGTATGTGGTCAAAAGTGGAAGCTGTGAGGCTGTTGCAGTAATCCAGAAAGAAAGGTGACGATTGCTTAGACTTCAGTGGTAGTGTTGGTAAGGGACATAAATAGACATACTCAGGAAATATATTGGTCTGAGATCTCATAAGACACGTAATAGATTAGAAGTATGGAAATTAATGAAAAACCAGAATTAAGGACGATTTCTCACTTACTGGCTTGAAATGCTAAGTGGATGAGGGTACTCTTTACTGAGTTAGGGAAGAGAGGGGGGTGGTGGGTGTAGAAATTAAGAAAGAAAAATCAAGAATTTCCAGGAGTTTCAGAGCAATGTTAACTACTTTCCTTGATAGTGGGTCAGTCATCATGTGTAAGTGCATTTCTAAAAATCCTGCTTAGTTTTGTTCCTGAGCTTTGTATAAATGAAACTTTGTGTGTACTGATTATATTGCTGGATATTATGTCTTTAAGATTCTTGGTATTGTTGCATGTGTCTGAAGTTTATTTTTAATTCTGTGTAGTGATTTACTAATGAATAAATCATAATTCAGTTTTTACTGTTCTATTGATGGACATCTGGGTTGTTTCCCATTTTAGTTATTTTGAATAAGGAAGCAATGAATATTTTTATACATATACCCTGATGTACATGTGTATATACATTTCAGGTATCAACCCCAAAAGTGCATTTGCTGGGTTATATAGGTCAAGTACATATTCAATTTTGTTAGATAATTTTCAACGTTTTTCCAAAGTAGTTCTACCAATATATACTATTATCATCAGTTGAGAATTCCAGTTGCTCTACATCTTCATTAATACTTGTTAATGTCAGACCTTTTAATATTTGCAAATCTGATGGGGATATAGTGGTATTTCATTTGGTTTTAATTTTCTTTACCCTGATTACCAAAGAAGTTGTACCTTTTTTGAGTATTTTAGTCACTTGGAGATCCTTCTTTGTGAAGCATCTTTTCAGGAATTTGTCCATCTTCCTATTGGGTTATTTGTCTTTTCTTAACAATTTAAAGGTATTTTCTATGTACCTGGATCTTATTTGTCTTTATATCCTATAAATATATTTTCCCATTCTGTGGCTTGTTTTTTTAACTCACTTTATGATGTGTTTTGATGAATTATTTTTACTTTAATGTAGCTGAATTCTTCAAACATTTTGTGGTTAGTATTTTATGTGTCTTGTTCTCTAATCTCAGGTAGTAAAGATACAACTGGAATTGATTTTTTGTGCATGTGGTGAGGTAGAAATCTAACATGATTGTTTTCCTACGTGTATATCAGTTTTCTCTGCACTATTTATTGAAAACTCCCTTTGCTATCCAATCACCCACCTCTACCATAAACTAGTATCCATACTGGGTAAGTTTACTTCGGGATTCACTATTTATTTTTATTGAGATATATACATATGCATGTATGTATACATATATATATACCGTGTGTGTATATATACATGTACACATAAAAATGTAGATATCATATGTAGAATATATATATTAAAGATATATATCTCTATATATAATATATATTATAATATATAATTTTATGTAAATAACCCTTCACCAAAATTGTTCAGAGGCATACTGTATAGGCTATAACGCCACCATGATCCACTCTAATGCACAGCCATTTGTAACTGAGCTTGATAATTTTTCTTCTTCAATCAATTGCTTACCAGAGAACTCCCTGCAAGACTACATGTGAAGATTGGAAGAGGATAGCAGTGTGGCAAGAGCAGGCCTGCTGGGGAGTGTAAGTAACCTGTTTATGTGATTTACTTTGTCTTCAGAATGTGTTCTGTCTTGGTCATTTCAGTCTTATTTCTGCTTGACGGTAGAGAGCTGGCAGGTGTGACTCACTTTGTGGCTCGTTGGGTCAGTCATCACCCAGCTCATGATGGGAGGCTTAGGTCATATGCTCACCTATGGTCATGTTTTTGGTCTCTGCCAGGGCCCAAGAGCAAGTGAAGAGGTTCCAATGAAGAATTGTCATTTACTCAAGAGGAGAATCATCTATGAAATACAGCATGGATTTGCTTCAGAGACCCAGAACAGTGGTTTTCAAACTAAATGTACATTTGAATCCTGTGGGGATCATGTTAAAATGCAGATTTCAATTCAGTAAGTTTTATCTGGGGCCTGAGATTCTGCATGTTTAATACAATCCCAGTTATTGTCAGTGCTGCAGGTCATGGACCATTCTTTAGCAAGGATGTAGAAAACTCCATTGTGATTCTCCTGTGGCAGCTTGACATGAAACATCAGTGTTTTTCAAAGTGTTGTTAGCTCCTTGCAACAGAATTGGTATCACCTGGGAATGTGTTAGAACATTCCAGAATTGGTGAGGCCAATTCTAGGGCCTCACTTCCCAGACATACAGAATTAGAATATCTAGGATAAGACCCAGCAATCTGTTTTAATTAGCCCACTAGGTGATTCTAATGTGCACTAAAATTTGAAAACCACTGTTCTCCATAGGTTGCTGGTTCTCAACCAATTAAATCAGTATCTCTGGAAGTGGGACGTAGGCATCAACGCTATTTTTAAGTTTCCAAGGTGGGCGTGGTAGTGCATGCCTGTATTCCTAGCTACTCAAGAGGCTGAGATGGGAGGATCCCTGGAGTCCAGGAGTTTGAGGTTGTAGTGAGCTATGATTGTGCCACTGCACTTCAGCCTGAGGAAAAGAGCAAGACCCTATTTCTAAAACACAAACAAATAAAAAGTTTATAAGTGCAATGGAATCAGGTGATTCCACTGTGCAGTCAAGAGCAACCTGATCTGTCAGAAGCTTTGGGCATAATTGGGGCTGCTGGGTTTTAAGGAAAATGTGGCAAAGTTGCTTTTCCTACAGTATTAGCTTGGTGGAAAGTGTTTTTCTCTCTCTGGTCCCATGCAGAACAGGCAGCCTTTGGTTCACCTGGTAAATGATATGTACTACCTCCAAATTCCCAAGAGATCCACGAAGCTTTCTGTCTCCATCTTAGTATTTGAAGGTTTAGGATTCCTCGGTTTATCCTTCAGTTTGAAGGTGATAGCCTAATGTAGCCTACACCGTTAGGCTTAAAAGAACTTCACTGAGTTACAAGAACTTGCATTCCAATCATATTTCTCTTTCATCTTCTGGTAGATATGTTTTACCAAGTCACCTAGAATATTTGCTACTTTCTGTTCTCCTGGTTCTATCAGAATAATATTATCAATAAAATAAACCAGTATTCTATGTGATGATGAGTTGGTAAAGGATCCCAGCTGACTAGATGGTAGCTCAGAGTCATAAATAAACTTGATGTTAGATGGTTAGGGTATTTTTTTGTCCTTTTGAGGTTTTTGTTGTTCTCTGTGTATTAATATAGGGAAATGAGCATTAACAAATAAATAGGTCCACCCAGATTTAAACTGTTCTGTAGTCTCCAGGAGCAGTGTTGTGCTGAGAAGGATTAGGTTTGACGTCAAGCAGGTGTAGATTCAAATCCTAGCTCTGTCACTCACCACAAGTTATGGAAACTTAAGCAAATTAACTTACTCTCTCTGAGCCTCGGATTACTCATCTCCAAAATGGGAATAATATGCCCACTTCACAGATAGCTGTAAGGACCATATAAGCTAATCCATGCAAATCATGTTCTAACAGTGCCTACTACATACTGAAGGCTCAATTAATAGTAAGCATTAGTTTCTGTTGATTGCCTTTTAAGAGACCACCATATAGGTTCTGCATGGCCTTTACAAAAGTCTGGGTCAGAATAAGGAAGAGTTTAGGTGAGCAACCTT